TAATTCCCTGTACAAACGCATATTTCAAACGCAACAATCATAAATTACACCATTGCATAAACACATATATCAATTCCCTGTACAAACTCATGTCAATTCCCTGTATAAACACATATCAAATCTAAAAATCATAAAATACACCACAAACGTACGAATCCAAATCCAACAAATCACGCCACAAACTTACGAATCCAAATCCAACAAATCACGCCACAAACCCACTTACAAATCTAATAAGTCACACCACAATCTCAGCTACAAATCCAAAAACCATCTATTGTCCCGAAATACGTTTGTAATGTACATATCAAAATAGGATTGTAATTTATATAACAATACCAATTAGCTTACATACATCCAAGAACTCTTCTCCTCCTCCTTTGTCTTCGGCCTCCTCTATCCCGACCTTCGATGAGTTCATGATCCGGTTGCGTTTGTGGTTGTGACGGTCCAGCTCCATCGTCAACACGTTGGGAAGGCCCAGCTTCATTGTCGTTTCTGCGTCGTCCTCGTCTGTGTCGTTGTTGACGTGTGTATACTAATTGAGGTACTTCTCGTCCATCATGAAGGTCTTCATGAGTTCGATGTAAGGCTTGGTGAAGCCTCTGCATTATCGACTGATATATTGATGCATGTTTCTGTGCTTCGGGATATGTACCTGCGAGAGATAATTCAAAAAAATCCGAAATGCAAAAATTACTTTAAAATTCAAATTACAATATGTAAATTTTATATTTAATTCTATATTACCTGCATGAGCCAATTCCAAGCCACTATTTGCAATGGTTTGAACATCAACTATTGCTGATACCTGCAAATTTTTAAAAAAACATAATTTAGCAATATTGAAAAATTCTAATAAAAATAAACTTAAAATAAATTTAAAAATACTTACTAATTCTCTCTCATCTATACCCCGAGGCACATATCCTCTTAAAGTCAAATTTAAAACTCTAATCTAAACTACAAAGCAAATAATTGCTAAATTCCCTAATCCCAAATCACATTATTCATGTCTAAACCCTAATTATGGTTAAACCCTAATCTCAAATACATTCCCAAATTTCAACCTTAATCCCAAATCTCAACTACATTCCCAAACTAAATACATTGATTTACCCAAGCCTAACCTGCAGTAAGTTCCCAAATCCCAAATCCAAACCCAAATCCCAAATCCCAAATCTCAACTACATTCCCAAACTAAATACAGTGATTTCAACCATAATTCCTAAATCCCAACCCAAATCCATTCCCAAATCCGAAATTTCATGGCTAATCAAAAAAAAAAAAAAAAACACATTTACCTTGTCGGAGCAAACTTGGCCGGCGGTGGTCGGAGCAAACTTGTCCGGCGGAGGCGGTGGTCGGAGGGCGCTTGGTCGGCGGCGGCGGTGGTCGGAGGCGGCGGCGAGGAAGCCGCTGGGTTTGAGGAGCGGGTGAAAGAGGAGGGGTGAATGGGTTTGGGTGAAAAGGAGTGCGGTCAAAGATGAAGTCGGGTCTTTTTTTACCACCGATCGCACGGGACTGCTAGTCCCGTGTTAATCGAAACTGCCACGAAATACACGGGACTAGCAGTCCCGTGTATGTCCTAAAAATTATTCAGCAGCAAAACCGACCCTTTTCAAAAGAAAAGGGTCGGTTTTGCTATTTAAATTT